GAATTTTATACATTCCCCAAGGACCGGTAGTACAAATCATGAGCTTCTAAGATTTAGAGTTTATAAAGCAGGTATGAAATTATACATCATCTTTTCGAAATGTACATAAATAGATTTATAATACTCTAAGGCTACCATGAACAAGAGGTAGCTACAACCAGAACACAAGTACATCTTCAAATCAAGCTCCCATCGAACACAGCAACATCAACAGTCAACATCTGCACGCAAGGTGTAAAAGTGTAGTATGAGTACAACCGGCCACATGTACTCAATAAGTAATAAACCTAACCTTAGAATGAAAGTAGTGAAGAGCTGAAAAAAGGTCGGAGTACAACACTAATAGCCAACAACAATTCATAACAACATAATGAAAGTAATAAAAGTAGTAACTCAAAGATAAAATGCTCAGCTGATTCACAGTTCCAGAAAAATAGGCCTGCTTTTTCAGGTATATCAGTTGTCATGACCCAAAATCTATCTAGTCGTGATGGCACCTAACCTAACCCTCTAGGTAAGCCAATTAACAACTAACCAATTCTACTAACAATTAATAAAGAAATTAAGTAAAGAAATATCTAAATCAGATACATTTCCCAAGGATTGGTAATACAAATCACGAGCTTCTAAATATAGAGTTTACAAAGCTGGAATGAAGTAAATACATCATCTATTTGAAAAGTACATAATAAAGTTTTATTAATCGAAGGCTACCATGAACAAGAGGCAGCTACAACCGGAACGCATGTACATCTTCAAATTCAGCTCCCGTCGAACACAGCAACATCAACAGCCAACATCTGTATGTAAGGTGCAGAAGTGTAGTATGAATACTACTGAGCCCATGTACTCAATAAGTAGTAAACTTAACCTTAGGTTGAAAGTAGTGACGAGCTGGAACAAAGGTCGTTCCAACATCCAATAGCCAACAACAATTCATAACAACGCAGAGCAAGTAATAAAAGAAGTAGCTCAGAGATAAAATGCTCAGCTCTTTCATAGTTTTCCGAAAATAGTTGCGCTTTTCAAGTATATCAGTGAAAACCCAAATCCTTTATCGAAATCATTGAAAATATGAATAAGTTTGAAAACTATAAATTTTTCCAAAAATTCCGTCCACAATAAATAAGATATTTCATTTTCTTTCCAGATATCAAATGTAAAATACCTCTTGATGCCCATATATCAATATGTGTAAGAAGTCATGAATGACGTGATACCGTACAACATGAGAAAAATTCATCTCTATGCCTGTATGTCATGTGTGCATGTCAATGCCATGTATCTCAGAGATGAACTCATGTACTCACACTCTCAGAGTACTTAATCTCACTGTCTCCTACTTTCCACACATCATGCTCAATCAATCAGTATTGTATATGTCCAATCCCACACAGGGAAGATCCATCACGAAATATATACATCAACTGACCAATAGTCAGTCAGTACTGAGTAGGGCTAAATCCAGCCCGTGAGGAAGATCCATCTTAGGTATATAAATGTTTCTGACAAGATCCATATCCAGGGAAGATCCATTCTCAATATAATCAACCGCGCTCATTGGGGTATGAGCAGACTCCGGAGGGGATCCTTCAGCCCAAACGCTATCATAAATCAGTATAACCGCTGCAGCGTGCAGCCTGATCCCATATATGCAATCAATATAACATGATATGGTGTGCAGTCCATCCTATAATATCACTCACACTCAGGCCCTTGGACTCATTTAGTCATCAATCTCGCCAATCTCTCGGGCTCACAACGCCATGAAACTAGCCTAAAATGATGATATGATACGCTAGTAAATGGTAATAAAGACTGAGATATGATATGCATATGAACGCGTATGACTGAGCATATAAAGCAATGAAAGCAGATAACTCAACAGTAGAAATGACCTCAGTGGGTACCAACAGGATAAACATCTAGCCTAAACATGGTTTCTAACATAGATAACAGCTCGATAGCTCAAATACGTAAAAATTTCATAGTTACACGTAAGATCAGGTAACTACATAGTACCACAGAAATAACAGAGTCACAATTCACACGGTGCACGCCCACACGGCCATCACCTAGCATGTGCGTCACCTTAACACCAATCACATAGCACATAATTCGGGGTTTCATACCCTCAACACCAAGTCTAGAAGTGTTACTTACCTCGAACAACCAATTTCAATAGTGAGCAAGCCAAGCGATGCTCCAAAAATGCCATCCCATGCGTACCGACATCAGAATGGCTCAAAACTAGCCAAAGCAACTTAAATACATTAAATAATGCCCAAGGGAACAAATCCAATCGATAAAGGTCGAATCTTTAATCAAAACCCAAAATCGGCCAAAAGTCATACCCGGGCCGACGCCTTGAAACCCAACAAAACTCACAAAATCTGATAACCCATTCAATTAAGAGTCCAACCATACTAGTTTCACTCAAATCCGACTCTGAATCGATGTTCAGAACTCAAAAATTCAGATTATGAAACTTTAGGCCAAAACCCCCAATTTCCTCTTTAAAATTCATCAACAAAAGCTAAAATCGAAGATAGATTCATGAAATATGACCAGAATTGAGTAGAGAACACTTACACAATTCATATGGTGAAAATTGCTTCAAGAATTGCCTCAATCCGAGCTCCATAGCTCCAAAAATGTAAAAATGGCCGAAACCCTCGAAATAGAGTACTTTATAATCTACCCGGTCATCCTCTTATGCGACCATCGCGTTCGTGATGAACAAAATGCACTTCCACCCAAAAGACCCTACACGAATGCGGACAAGGCTCTGCTAACGCAAAGAACAAATGTAGCAGCCTCCCAAAATACACTATGCGATCGCGAAATAGACCACGCGAACGCGAACAACACTGCCTCATGCCTTTCGAATGCGTCTCACCTTATGCGAACGCGCTGAAGAATTTCTCTAGCCCCAGCTCAGTCCAAACAACTATGCAAACGTGTGCTCACCAATGCGGACGCGATGCTCAATTTGCCACAACATATGCGAATGAAGACCCTTGTTCGCGAACACGAAGAAGAAGCACTCAGCCTAAATTTTTCCCTTATGCGATTGCATTCCTCATTCCGCGATCGCGATGAAGAAATGTGACACCAAACACCAGAACACACCAGCACTGAAAACATGAAGAAAAATAGCTCGAAATTAATCCAAAACACGCTCGAGCTCCTTGAGACCACGTCCGAACATCCCAAGAAGTCCCATAACATAAATCGTACCTACTTAAGGCCTCAAATCATGCATAACAACATTAAAACGACGAATCGTACATTAAATCGAGCTTAATGAACTTTGAACTCTTCAACTTCCATAACTCGTGCCGAAACATAGCAAACCAACCAGGGATGAACCCAAATTTTGCACACAAGTCCCAAATGACATAACAAAGCTATTTTAATTCCCGGAACCACAATCCGAATCCGATATCAAAAAGTCTACCCCGGTTAAACTTTCCAAAAATACAACTTTTGCCATTTTAAGCCAAATTCAACTACAGACGACACACTCCTAAGTCCAAAATCACCCAATAGAGCTAATATAACAATCAAAACTCCAATCCGAGGTCAAATACTAAAAAGTCAAACTTGGTCAACTCTTCCAATTTAAAGCTTCCTAGTTGATAATCATTCTTCCAAATCAATCCCGAATAACTTGAAAACCAACATCGACGATTCACACAAGTCATAATACCTAAAACGATACTACTCAAGACTTCAAATAGCTGAACGAGATAGAAATGCTCAAAATGATCGGTCGAGTCATTACATCAGTAAAAACCAAATCTTTTACCGAAAATGCCAAAAATGTGAGTAAGTTTAAAAAATGTAATTTTTCCCAAAGGCTTTCAACAGGTAAATGTTTTATTTTTAAAGGCCTAAGAAAAATACATCTCTATGCCTACATGTCAATGTATGCATGCCAACTGTAATACTATGCAGTGATAAAATCATATGCATACTCTTGGTGCATCAATGCACTCAGTCCTCCCAATCACTCAATCCTCACAGTCACTCAGTCCTCATAGTCACTCAGTCCTTACAGTCACTCCCTCCTTCCTATCGCTTGGCACTCGTACTCGACACTCAGCACTTGCACTCAGTAATTTTCACCATATAAATTGGATAAGTGTTTTCTACTCAATTTTGGTCATATTTCATGAGAATGACATACATATGAATGCGTATCACTGAGTATGTAAATGCAATGTGAGCAGAAAACTCAACAACAAAAATAAGCTCGGTGGTCTCAACAAAATAAGCATGTAGCCTAGACATTGTTTGTAAGAGAGATCACAGCTCAATAGCTCAAATATTAGAAATTTTATGGTTACAGCTAAGGCCAGGTAACTACACAGTACCACAAAAATAGTAAAGTTACAATTCACACAGTGCACACCCACACGCCCGTCACCTAGCATGTATATCACCTCAACACCAAACACATAACACGTAATTCGGGTTTTCATAACCTCAGCACCAAGTATATAAGTCTTACTTACCTCGAACAAGACAAATCCAATACCGAGCAAGCCAAACAATGCTCCAAAATGCCATCCCACGCGTACTGACCTCTGAACGACTCAAAACTAGCCAAAAGCAATTCAAATAAAGCCTAAGGAAATAATTCCAAATGATACAGGTCAAATCCTTAATCAAAAGCCCAAAATCGACCAAAAAGCTCAACTCGGGCTCATGCCTTGGAACTCGACAAAACTTATAAAATTTGACAATCCATTCAATTACGAGTCCAATCATACTAGTTTCACTCAAATCCGACTCCAAATCGATGTTCAAAACTCAAAAACTCATTCTATGAAACTTTGGGCTAAAATCCCCAATTTCCTCTTTAAAATTCATCAACTAATTGCCAAAAACAAAGATATATTCATAAAATAAAATCAAAACCAAGTGTAGAACACTTACCCCAATTCTTGTGATGAAAATTACTCCAAAAGTCGCCACAATCCGAGTCCCACATATCACAATATGATAAGAGAATCAAACCTCAATTTTATAGCTTCTGCCGGGCACCCAGCAGTTTCTCCATATGCTGTCACAATGTCGTATCTGCGACCTCCGCTTCTGCATAACAAATTTTGCTTATGCGAAGAAATCCCTGAACCAATAACTACCTCTCCTGCAATCACCACTCCACTTTTAGGTCGCGCTCCTACGCACATTGATCCGCATCTGCGGTCGCGCAGGTGCACCCAAACACCCGCACCTGCGATCCTCATGCCCGGCTCCCTCTTCACGCTTCTGCGATAACACTGCCGCTTTTGTGGCACCGCACCTGCGCCCATGGCTCCGCAGGTGAGGTCACACCAGAACTTCTACCAAACCAGCCTTAGCAAAAATTTTCAAAATGTTCTGAACCTTGTCTAAAACTCACCCGAGCCCCTCGGAACCCGGTCCGAATATACCAACAAGTCCAATAACATAACAAGGACCTACTCGAGACTTCAAATCATACATAACAACATCAAAACGACGAATCGCACCGCAAATCAAACTCCTCAACTACCTCTTATTAATAGTAGGAATATTCATCTATATTTCATCTTAATAAATGCAACAATATTACTATAATAATTTTATTTTGTAACGACCCGCCTGATCGTTTGAGCATTTGCACTTTGCTTGGTAGTTTGAGGGCATGAGTATCTCCGTATGATGTTTTATGAATTGTTTGAATCGTCGGTTTTGGTTTTCAAGTTGTTCAGAATCGATATGGAAGAATGAACTTCATGATTGGAACTTTAAGTTGGAAGAGTTGACCAAGTTGGACTTTTTAGCATTTGACCTCGGATTAGAGTTTTGATGGTTCTGTTAGGTCCGGATAGTAGTTTTGGACTCAAACGTATACCCGGATTTGTAATTGAATACTTCTAGAAGGATTCAGCACTAATTGGCGAAAATTAAAACTTCAAGGTTTGGAAAAGTTCATTAAGTTTGATTTGGGGTGTGATTCATCGTTTCGATGTTGTTATGCTTGATTTGAGGCCTCGAATAGGTCTGTGTTATTTTATGACACTTGTTGGTATGTTCGAACAGGGTCCCGAGGGGCTCGACTGAGTTTCAGATAGGTTTGGGTTGTGTTGCGCTCGTTTTTTATGTTTCGACGTCGTTTCTTCAAGAATAAATGGTACCAAATTATGCAAATGAGCTCCAACTTCTATTTTTATTAAATTATTATATCCGTATCGTAATTATGGAGCCATAGCAAAAAAGAATCGTTGAATTTGGACATTGTATAAGGAGTTTATGTTCATTTTACTAAGAATTGGGTTGCCAGTTTTTTCAGATTAATTACGAAATCGCCACTGACTTAGTATTTAAAAATATGCACTGTTTCTAAATATTGAAACCAACATATCTCCTTCAATATAAGGTCAAATGGAATGATTCAAGAGCCTTACTTGACTAGAATTTTACAAGAAATAGATTCGAGACATCAAAAGCGCGTTTGAAGCTCATTTGGCATAAGAAACGAGACAGAACAATGTTAAAACGAGGGTTTTATTCATTTAACATATTTTGAGTTGGGGGGCTCGAAATTGGAAAATTTTTGAGGCGATATTCACCATATGATTTGGGGTAAGTATTCTCTACTCGGTTTTGGTTATATTTCGTGAATCTATCTTCATTTGGTAATTTGATTGTGAATTTAAAAGAGAAAATTGGGGGGGGGGGAGGTATGTCCAAAGTTTCATAAAGTGAATTTTTGAGTTTTGAGCATCGATTCGGAGTTGGATTCGGGCGAAACTAGCATGGTTAGCTTCGTAATTGAATGAGTTGTCGGATTTTGTGAGTTTTGTCACGTTTTAAGGCATGGGCCAGGGTTTGACTTTATGGTAAATTTTAGAATTTTGATTAAAGATTCGACCTTTATCGATTAAGTTTATTTCCTTTGGCATTATTTGATGTATTTGAGTTGCTTTTGGATAGTTTCGAGCCGTTCGAAGGTCGGTACGCGTGGGATGGCATTTTCGAAGCACGTTTGGCTTGCTCGGTATCAGATTTGGCTTGTTCAAGGTAAGTAACACTTTTAAACTTGGTGCTGAGAGTATGAAACCATGAACTATGTGTTATGTGTTGGGTGTTGAGGCGACAGACATGCTAGGTGATGAGAGTGTGGGCGTGTACCATGTGAATTGTGACTCCATTATTTCTATGGTTCTGTTTAGTTACCTGATCTTATCTGTAACCATGAAATCTCTACATGCTGGAGCTATTGAGTAGTGATCCGTGTTAGAAACCATATCTAGGCTTCATGCTTATTCTGTTGGGACCCGCTGAGTTCATTTCTGTTGTTGAACTATTTGATTAAATTATAATTTAATACTCAGTCATGTTCATTCATTTCATATCATATCTCAGTCTCTGTTGCTATTTATTGACACATCATATTATTATTTTGGTCTAGTTTCATGGCATTGTGAGCTCGAGAGAATGGAGAGATTGATGACTGAGTAAGGCCGATGGCCTGATTATGAGTGACATTTATGGGATCGGGCTGCACACCGCATTGGGTTTTACTGATTTATTATAGCGCTTGGGCTGAAGAAGTCCCTACGGAGTATGTACACACCCCCAATGAACGCAATTGATTTATATTTGGGGATGGATCTTCCCTGCGCTGTATTGGCCTTATACACTACTGAGTGACTGACATGTAGTTTCTATGTATATATTCGGGATTGATCTTCCCTGGGCTGAATTGGCCATATACAATACTGAGTGATTGAGCATGATAAATGAAATGTGTGAGACAATGAGATTGAGTACTCTCAGAGTGTAAGTACATGAGTTCATCTCTGAGATACATTACATTGACATGCATAAATAACATACAGGAATAGAGATGCATTTTTCTCATGTTGTACGGTATCATGTCATTCCTGACCTCTCATACATGTTGACATATAGGCATAGAGATGTATTTTTCTCATGCCAATTGAAAATGAAACACTTACCTATTGAACGCTTTTTGGAAAAAATTACAAATTTCAAACCTACTCATATTGGCAATTTCAATAAAAGATTAGGATTTTCATTGATTTACTTTAAAAGTAGACCTATTTTCTTGAACTATGAATGAGCCGAGCATTTTCTCTGCGAGTACTTCTTTTATTGCTTTTAATTTATTATGTTGTTATGAACTGTTGTTGGCTATTGGTGTTGGACTCCGATCTTTGTTCCAGCTCATCATTACTTTCAACCTAAGGTTAGGTTTGTTACTTATTGAGTACATGGGGTCGGTTGTACTCATGCTACACTTCTGCACCTTGCGTGCATATGTTGGATACTGATGTTGCTGTATTCGATAGGAGCTAGATTTGAAGATATACCTGTATTCCGCTTATAGCTGCCTCTTGTTCATGGTAGCTCTAGACTTATGAAAGATCTGTTCATGTATATTTCAAACAAATGATGTACCTTATTTTATACCAGTTTTGTAAATTCTAAATCTTGGATGCTCATGATTTGTACTACCAGTCCTTGGAAAATGTATAAAATTCAGATTTTTTTTACTTATTTGTCTTATTAGATTTTATTGGAATTGGATAATTATTTATTGGCTTACTTATCGGGTCGGGTTAGGTGCCATCACGACTAGTCAGATTTTGGGTCGTGACATAATATCACAATCATTACAACAACAATAACAACATCCCAGTATAATCCCACAAGTGGGGTCTGGGGAGGGTAATATGTACGCAGACCTTACCCCTACCCCGAGGGGCAGAGAGGCTGTTTCCAGGAGACCCTCAGCTCAAGAGAGCAACAAGATACAATATATTAGTACTATCAATAGACTCATAATAAAACATATAATACATAACATAAAATAAAAATAACAACAATATCAGAAATATAGGAAATACGAAAATGATGGAGAAAAGGATGTAAGGTATACTAATATCTAACAGATATAGCGCTACATCAGTAGCTGATCAGTAGCATCCTAAGACTAACTCCTAAATGGTTAGTCTCACTCTAGTGCACTGTATTAATATTCACAAACTACCCTCTAACCTACAACCTTAATGCTCGACCTCCACAATTCCCTGTCAAGGGTCATGTCCTCGGAAATCCTAAGTCGTACCATGTCCTGCTTGATCACCTCCCCCCAATACTTCTTAGGCCTCCCTCTACCTCCCCTCGTGCCCACCACCTCCAGTCGCTCACACCTCCTCACTGGTGCATCAGTGCTCATCCTCTGAATGTGCCCGAACCATTTGAGTCTTGCTTCCCGCATCTTGTCCTCCATGGGAGCCACGCCCACCTTCTCTCGAATATCTTCATTCCTAATCTTGTCCATCCTTGTATGCCCACACATCCACCTCAGCATCCTCATCTCTGCTACTTTCATCTTCTGGATGTGTGAATTTTTAACCGGCCAACACTCGGTCCCATACAATATAGCAGGCCTAACCACTGCTCTATAAAACTTACCTTTAGTAATGGTGGCACTTTCTTGTCACACAAGACTTCCGTTGCTAACCTCCACTTCATCCACCCCACCCCTATACGATGTGTGACATCCTCATCAATCTCCCCGGTCCCCTGAATAACTGACCCAAGGTACTTGAAACTACCACTCTTAGGGATGACTTGCGAGTCGAGCCTCACTTCCACTCCTGCTTCCGTCGGCTCGACCCCAAATTTGCACTCGAGGTATCCAGTCTTCATCCTGCTCAGCCTGAAACCTTTAAACTCAAGGGCATGTATCCAAATCTCTAGCCTCTCGTTGACTCCGCGTCGTGTCTCGTAAATTAGGACTATATCATCCGCAAATAGCATGCACCATGGCACCTCCCCTTGAATATAATGCGTTATGGCATCCATCACCAGGGCAAATAGGAAAGGGCTGAACGCAGACCCTTGGTGCAACCCCGTAACAACCGGAAAATGGTCGGAGTCTCCTCCTACTATCCTAACCCGAGTCTTAGATCCATCATACATGTCTTTAATCTCCCTAATATAGTCAACCGGGACCCTTTAACCTCTAGGCATCTCCATAGGACCTCCCTAGGAACCCTGTCGTACGTTTTTTCTAGATCGATAAACACCATATGGAGGTCCTTCTTCTTATCCCTGTATTGTTCCATCATCCTCCTAATAAGGTGGATAGCTTCTGTGGTAGATCGCCCGACATGAACCCGAACTGGTTATCTGAAATAGATACCGTCCTTCGCACTCTCATTTCTACCACTCTCTCCCAGACTTTCATGGTATGACTCAGTAATTTGATGCCCCTATAGTTGTTACAACTCTGCACATCGCCTTTGTTCTTATATAGCGGAACCATTGTACTCCACCTCCACTCTTCAGGCATCTTATTATTCTTGAATATAACATTAAACAACCTAGTAAGTCATTCCAAGCCTGCTCTACCCACACACTTTTAAAGTTCAAACGGAATTTCGTCTGGCCCGGTAGCTCTGCCCCTCCTCATCTTACGCATTGCCTGCATGACGTCGTCGACCTCAATATCCCTACAATAGCTTAATTCATGGGGGCTGTTGGCATTCCTCAATTCACCTAGCACAATATCTTGATCCCCTTCTTCATTTAGAAGTTTATGAAAGTAGGTCCGCCATCTCCTCTTAATCTGGTCATCCCCCATCAAAACTTTGTCGTCATCATCTTTTATGCACCTCACTTGGTCCAGATCTCGAGCCGTCCTCTCTCTCACCTTAGCGAGTTGGAATAACTTCTTCTCCCCTCCTTTGTTCCCTTGTTCCTCATATAGACAAGCAAAAGCTGCTGTCTTAGCCTCCATTACTGCCATCTTCGCCTCCTTCATAGCTACCTTATATCTCTCACTGTTCGCTCTCTTCTCCTCCTCTCCAGAGCTCCCTACGAACCGCATGTACGCTGCCTTCTTCGCTTCCACTTTATCTTGGACAACTGCATTCTACCACCAGTCTCCTTTGTGGCGATCGGTGCGTCCTGAAGATAGCCCTAACACCTCTCTCGCCGCCTTCCTTATACAATCAGCCGTCGTCAACCACATAGTGTTTGTGTCCCCACTACTTCTCCAAGCTCCCATTGCCGATAAACTACCTTCCAACTCCTGAGCTTTATCCTTAGTCAAAGCACCCCACCTAATCCTCGGACAGCCTCGTACTGACCTCTTCTTCCTCCTTATCCTAATACCAATGTCCATCACCAAAAGCCTATGTTGCGTTGCTAGGGTCTCACCTGGGATAACTTTGCAATCCTCGCACAACCTTCTGTCGCATCTCCTGAGGAGGAGATAGTCAATGTGAGTCTTCGCCATCGAACTTTTGTAAGTAACCAAATGTTCATCCCGCTTCGGAAAACTTGAGTTTGCAATCACTAGATCGAATGCCTTGGCAAAGTCCAACAACGAAGTGCCCCCTCCGTTTCTCTCCCCAACACCAAAGCCGCCATGCACCTCAGTATAACCAACTACAGACGACCTAATATGACCATTGAAATCTCCTCCTATGAATAACCTCTCCGAAGGCGGAATACTACGAACGATGTCATCCAACCCCTCCCAAAAACGCCTTTTAATCTCCTCATCCAAGCCTACTTGCGGCGCGTACGCGCTAACGACATTTAAAGTACACTCACTCACCACCAATTTAATAGTCATTAGTCTATCATTCACCCGCTTGACCTCTACCACCGACTCTCTAAGATGGTTATCTACTAGGATACCCACTCCATTCTTACCCCTCAGGACTCCAGAGTACCATAACTTATACCCATCCACGTTTTTCGCCCTCGATCCAACCCACCTAGTCTCCTGGACACACGCTATATTAATCTTCCTCTTCTGTAGTATCTTGACCAACTCTATAGACTTACTCGTTAGCGAACCTATGTTCCATGACCCGATTCTCAACCGATAGGCTCCCTTGCCCCCTCTACCTCCCCTACCTCCCATCCCACACCCTGACCCCGGCCCCACTCTCTGTCCCACCCGAGGACATGCCCTTAATCTATCATC